CGCCGTGGCGCTGCTGGGGCGTCCGCCGGGAGCGGAGGGCTCCAGGCAGATGCCCTGCGGAGAGGGGACCTCGCCCGAATTTTGAGTAGCACCCACCTCCTGCCCTGGCGCCAACTCCGAGGGGCGAACCTGGAGCCAAACTAGAGGGCAGAGACCCAGGTCTCGCTCTCTCCGCTGCCTGTCCTGGAGCACTCCACCTTGCACAGCCAGGACTAGGTGTATGCATTAGCATCCTGCAGCAAAGTAGCCACCAATTTCCGTTCCCAACAGTTTCCATTCGCTGTGAAATATTTACAAAGGAAAGGTTGGCTACTGTTCCCTTAGACAACGTGAACGCAAACTTCCTATGACATCGATTTTCGCCTTTTCTTTCCCAGCCTCCCCTGGTGGCTTCCAGGACTTTTCTGGTTTGCACATTTCCAGAGGAACTATGAATGTGAGTGGGGTATTTTGTTCTGATATGAAAAGAAAAACAAAGATACAATGTCCAATGCACACCATGTTTTCCCCTTCTTCACCCCCTAGGAACTTCAAGTATTATTCCCAAGTCCAGTACAATGTGCTCATATCCTTTATGTCTTTCTGAAACCCATGTGTAATATAAGTAGAATTTTAATTTCAGAGCATTTATTTCTGATCTGTGTGTCGGATGTGTCCATGGAGAGGTGTTAAAAGTAAACCTAGCTGTGTAGACTAAATAAAGTGCTAAATCATTACACAACATCGTCTATTTTATGGAACTTCTTTAAAAAAAACTAGTTCTTTCCTCCCAAGAACAATTTAGTTTTACAATTCTTATTCATTATAGACATCAGAAACAATCCATTTTAAAAATGGCTTTTAAAACTTAAGAATATTTGAAGTTGAAAAGTCCTTTCTTTTGAACTATGGGATTTAATATGTATAAAACCTATAGAATAAAAGAATTGGAGGAAATCTAAATAGAGTCTATATATTTTTTTATCTTCCTAAAGATGTTGATTTTTCTCCAGAATAAGTTGGAGGACTATTTGAAATCAATGTGGAAGGTAGTGGCTAACATTTATTTGTGGGGGTGGGGATGAGGGTTGAGGGGGGCAGTTTGGGGAGTGAAGGCATTTTTTTAAAAAAGCATTAGAACTTTCACAACAAGGGCCCAAAGAAAAAGTATATAATGTATCAAATAAGCATTCATGTCCTGGACATTTACAATTAAAAAAAAATTCTCTCTCTAGGCAAGTGCCTTCTAAGGGCTCCTATTTTCTTTCTTTAGAACAGAAAGTAACTTCCTTTTGTTTCCAAAAGAGTTAATTTCTTAAAGGACTTTGCAACCAGAAAGATTTCACTGTACTGGGCTTCAGGTGACTGGGTGGGAGGGAAAGAAGACCCAAATGTCCATCATGAAATACTCCTGCCAGAGAGACCAAATTTCTCCTGCAGCTCTCCAGTCGCTAAGCAGACTCTCTCTTTTTCCCCTCACAATTGCTTTCCCCGTGGCTTAGGAAAAAGTCACTCTGTGAGTGTGAAGAAGGTCATTGGCCCTCAGCTACTCCCCAGGCCCAGCTATGAATTTCTCATTACAGGAGGGAGGGGCTCCAACGAGACATGTTTTTAATTGGTGATTTTTACTCCAGCTCCTCATTTCCACCCCATCCCTCAGAACTTCTTTGGCATGTTCTGCCTGCAATCCCTACCTTCTCTGGGCTTGGTAGATCAGTTTCAGGGACATTCTGGAAAGTTCCCAAGCCAAACCCTTGGTAGCCACTGGGACACAGAACTTCAGATTGTACTCTCCGGCTCTGCACCTGCAACCTTTGCTTGTATGGCAAGCACCACCCCTGCCCTACATAGGCCCCCATCCTGGGGCTGCAGGCAGTCCCTCCCCTAAACCTCCTCCTCTTTCATCCACTTCTCCCTCCTTGGGTTTTTAAAAATGAAAATTTAGAGACTTTATATCATATCTATGAACTCCACCATATCCTGTGGGATATAGATAGCTAATTACACCCAACATAATTCAAAGAATGAAAATAGTCCTTTACATAAAACAAAATCATAATATAAAGACTTTTGGAAATAATATCATTTCAAATTTATGCATTAAAGTAGTTAGATAGTATAATTGTTTTTTATACTTTTTATTGTTGATAGCATTACAGGTATCTCCCACTTCCCTCCCCCCTCACCCCCCTCCTTCCCGCTTCTATTCCCGCCTCTCCCAGCGCTACCCACTCCTCGCAGGAGACGCCGCCGAGGAGTTCTCTTCCCCGCCTTTGCTCCAAGCCAGCCACCAATACGGGTGACTGCGGATGAGAATTGGGCCCAAGCCGGCCCCCAAGCTCCTAATTGTTACCTAATGAAACTATATCGAACGACGAATTTTCAGGAAAAACGTCGACTCAGTGGAAGAGTAGTTAAACATAGTTCGCCACCCGAACGTGGCGCTTCGGACCCACCTGCCGGGAGCGCGGCGACCGCGTGGAGAGGTCAGCGTGAAAGGGGGCCCGCGCGAAACCCCGCAA